TGTAATATAGTTTTCTAAACCTTAAGAATTCTACTAGGTTAAAAAAGTATATAAAAGGAGATGGAATTTTTTCAATATTTTTTATTAATCTTTTTATAAAAGCAGCAAAGCCGCTCCCTCCTGGGCCGGCCAAGGCAGGAGGTTCCAGTTTGTTTCTTCAACTTTAGAATGTTTCTGGAAAGGTTTTGCAAACAGTTCTTTGCTAGCTGAGTTGGAACCTGTTGGGGGAGAGGCATGTTCATCATGCACAGGTGCCGAGTGTACACGTGTTGTAAAGACAACCAACTTCCCTGCCCCAACCCTGTCTGCCTTCCCTTCCCTAGGATTGCTGTGCTTCCCTCTCCCCCCATAGTTCAGTTTGTTTGGATTTGAACAGTTCCTGTTTAGCAACCCCTCAAGTTTGTTTCAGCTCCTCATGCAAATAAAAGTACAATGAACTAAGCAGGAGGTTGTAGCTCTGCTTTCTTTCTCATGCTGGATACAAAGCTTTGTGTCCAGCACTGGCCAACAGCAGCCTCAAGCTGTGGAACCAGAGCTGCTGCTGTTGTTGTACTGTACTGGAACTAAGAGCCCTAAGAAAATTGCCTGTGGCCCTGCCATGCCACAGTGGGGTCCTGAGTGACACCTTCAGTGTCCCTAGTGTCCAGTGGTTTGCAGCTAGCTGCCTGTTGGCTTCACTCTTATTTCCAGGTTTAATGACACTAAAAAGGAGGGTGTTGCTGCCCAGTTGTTATGAGGTGCAGGGCTTTACACTTACAGGCACGTGAGAACTTGCTGCTCTTGGGTTCACAATCAACAGTGGGAACAAGATGAAGCCCTGTGGAATGTGCTCCACCAGGTGTTGCATTGACTGCTGCTCTAGTAAGGAAGGCATGGTCATTGGAGCACTGAGCTTGACCAGATCACAGAAGCACTTTGGATTTGCCCCAGCAGCTGTTCCCTGTGTGGCTGGGGCCAGGAGGCAGCCGACTCTCAGACAAAGCATTTCCCCTTGCCAGTACGTGGTCACCGTCCTCTTGGGGGTCTGCCATCCCACTGGGGCCCACAGGCTTGGGGAAGTAGGTCCACTGTGGCACCTTTATGGGAGGAAGACTGGTGGTAGAGTCTGACCTAACTAACCCTGTCCCTTCTCCCTGCGGAGGTATCTCCACCCCACTTCCTGTGGAGTGATGTCCCTGTCCCTCACAGGTCTCCCCGCAGCCCTGCAAAGGGCAGCTGAGGAACCGCCCACCATCTCCCGGGCAGGGGCCCAGCCCCGCTCCAGCGCCGGCTCCTTCCCCCGGGCCTCGCGGACCCAGCCTCGGGCACCACCGGCCCGTGCGGGCGGGGCCGAATCCAGGACTCGCCTTCCTATTGGCCGCTTCCAGGAGCGCAGCGATTTGCTGGAATGGTTGTGTGGGCGGTGACAAGCCACCTGGCCATTCCTCTTTGTGATTGGCCGCCGCCAGAATCCAACTCACCCCACGCGATTGGTGGCGGCGTTCCCTGCTCTGTACGCGGATTGGTCCGGCTGCGCACAGGCGCCTGAGGGGTCTGCGGGTCGCTCCACAGCATCTGCGCCGACTCCCCGCTGCCCTCCGCGCGCCACACAAGGCACCGCGGCCGGGAGCCAGCGGCGCGGCGCCGCCGGGCGAGAAAGCCGGAGAGAGCAGAGGAGAAAAGATCTCGCTCGCTCGGGGCGTCACCGCAGCAGTGCCCGCGGCCGGGGCCAGGCGGGCTCGCGCTGCTCGGGGCGAACACAATCCGCGGGACAGGGATCCCGGCCCGGGGCAGCGCGGGCACTGCCTAAGGCGATTGGGTGGAGCGGCCGGATGGGCGGGGTCAGGCCCGCAACGCCCTTCTTCACTCGGATTGGCCTTTGCAGCAGGGGCGGAAGTACGCCCTCCCTGTCCGCGCGCCATTGGTCCGACTGCGGTGCCCGTCGGCCCGCTCCGGC